CTTCAAGAGAATATGAAAATAATTGTACCTTAGAATATCCTAGGAGCTTACAAACTTCCAGTCCTATCTTAATGGCATGAAGCTTAGCTGTAGGTATTTCTATCAGCCCAAGTTCCTTCTAAAAGCCTATAATCCATTACCCCTGTGAATTCCTGAACACTCCCCTATAAGTAGCATGTTAGTTTTATTGAATTGAGGCATTAACGTCAATTTGAATAAAACCTTCTGGTGGCAATCTCCATAGCAAAATAGAACAACCAAAGACATTGATAATTATATTTCTCAATACTCCATTAATAGTCTCTTCCATTAGTTAAGCTAAGCAAAAGTGAATGACTTCATTTCTTGAAGGTGTGCTATCATCAAAAAAATTTCTACATCTCGATATCCATAGATTCCAACAAACAAGGCTAAAATTTTTTGTCCACGGCCAATGCTTAAATCTATTTCCAACCAAGTTCTACTTAAGCCAATCTTGTAAATTACCACAAAAGAAACTTTAAAGTATGTTAGGTTTGATAAAAACTTTCCACACCTCACGATTATGGGGACACTATCTAAGGATATGCAAGATTGATTCCTCACTGTTATACTAAAAAAGACACATGTTATTTTCAAAGAGGCCATTTTTGGTTTTAAGGGAATTAGTTGATAATCTTTCTTGAGACACTTGCCACAGGAACATTTTAACTTTTTCTGGAATCTACCATCTCCAAAATTAAGTCTACTTAGGATTTAGACTATTGTTCTCCAATCTCACAATGAACTCATAAGCATATCAAACAGAGAAAACTTCATTCGGAGATCTAGCCTAACTAAAGCCATCTACACCATTACCTCTTGAAAGGGGTGTAACACATAGTCACTTGATAACATTGAAGGGAAGGTAATTAAACCATGCAAAACTCTTCCAACTTCCTTCATTTGACACAAAATCCCTAATCAAGGCTTTAATATTGCTAATATAAGCCCTGTTAGTCACATAAGCAATGAGGGGTTGATCAAGATTAGTCTATTTGCCTCACCAAAACAAAGTTTCTCTACCCCCTACAACTTTTCTTTTAACTTTATTCAAGAAACTATCCTAAACTTTGACAATGCTCTTCCAAGCATAGGAAGAGTCTTTCTTTTTCTTAACATTGATATGTCCTCCATGGTCACACTTATATTTAGTTCTTAAGCATTGGACCTAAAGGCATCTAGGTTTGCATAAAATTCCCTAACAAAGTTTAAACATGAAGGCTTTGTTTTGATTATAGAGATCTTTTATGCCTAAACCCCCATCTTTCTTTCCTATTTTGATGTCCTTTCAAGTAATAATGTGCATTTTCCTAGAATCATCAAATTGGTTCCAAAGAAAATTCCTACTCAATTTTTCAACTTTATTCAAAATCCCTTTAAGGAGAAGCAAAGATTGCATATAATAGTTTAACTTAGCTAAAAGAACATATTTAATGAGAATCAGTTTACCAGTTATACTCCAAAACTTCCTTTTCCATGAATAAAATTTTTTCTTCACTTTTTGGATAATAAGATCAAAGGTGAGGTTTATTGCTTTAGTATGGAGAAGCAGGACTCCTAGGTATTTTCCAAGGTCATTAGTAAGGCCTATCCTTACCATTTGATTCAACTCCATGGCTTTATTAAGATATATGTTAGCTAAGAAGCAGAGTTTAGATTTAGCCAAATTGATTCTATGGCCAAAAGCTTTATAAAAACCTAGTATGACCTTCTTAATAACTTCCATTCGTTCAAATGAGGCTTCAGTAAAAAGTAAAAGGTCATTAGTAAAGAACAAATGAGAAATAGCAGGTTCTTTCTTAGAGAATTTGAAAGGTTTCCATTCTTTTCTCTTACATTCCCTTTTAATGATGTGCCCAAGCCTTTCCATATAAAGAACAAACGAATATAGACTAAGGGAATCTCCTTGTCTAAGGCCCCTAGTGGGAGAGAATTAGGGGTGTCTTCACCATTCCATAAAACCTTTATAACACTCATCAAAACACATGTCATAATAAGATTGATAATAGAGTCACCCAGCCTTAACTTCTTTAAAGTATCATGTAAGAAAGCCCTATCAAGTATATCATGAGCTTTCTCTATGTCTACTTTAATAGCTGTAAAGCCTTGCTTCTTCTTCTTCTTCTTCTTATTTCTCATGTAATGAATTATTTTTTTAGCTATGATGATGTTATCATTGCTTCGTCTTCATTCAATGAAGCTACACTGTTGAGGTTTAATCAAGTAGCTTATGACTCCCCTTATCCTAGTGGAAAGGATTTTGGTAACAATCTTAAAACTAACATTATATAGAGATATGGGGCGCAATTCCTTGATTGATGAAGGGTTATCCACTATAGGTATGAGGACAAGGTTAGTTTGATTAACCTCCTTCACCTTGGTTGAATTTTAAAAATCTCCTTGATCATAGTACAAATCTTATCGCCTACAAGGTTCTATTATTTTTAAGAGAAATGAGCTTGAATGCCATCAAGGCCTGAGGCCTTGAAAACTCCCATAGTAAAGGCTTTATTCTTGATTTCAATGTTTGCCACCTCTCTCTCGATCCAAGTTAAATCAGCATCATTAATTGCAAGGAAATTAGGAAACCTAGCAGCCTTTAAGGAGATAGACATATCTTTAGAGTGCAAATTTTTAAAACGAGAACTAACCATGATTTTTAGATTATCTTGACCAATGATCCAATTCTCATGTTCATCTTTCAAAGCCACAATTTCGTTTCTTTTCCTTCTAATTTTTGTTGTGGCATGAAAGAAGCTTTTTTTTTATCACCCTATTGTAATCAATTCACTCGTGCTTTTTGAAACTATATCAATTCTTCTTGTTGGTAGAGTTTATGATAGTCCTCCTAGAGTTGCTTCTCCAATCTAAAGAGGCCATTTTTATCCTTGCTAGCTCTAATTTTGTCAATCCCTTTTAACTTATTTAAGACCTCTTGATTTTTGCGGGGGATGCTGCCAATCTTTTCTTTATTCTAGGTTTTGGCATGGGATGAGAAATTCTAAAGACCTTTGACCAATCATAATTATTCCAAGCCCCTTTAACTAAATTAGATCTCATACTAGGAGAGGAAGGATCCAAATCGCCCACGATAATGAGTATGTGATTTGAACAATATTTGAGATGATGAACCCCTCTGGAAAGATGGTGATTTACCTCCCATCTAATATTGCTCAGAGCCCAGTCTAATCTCACTTTGGTAGGATCATTTTTTCAATTAAAGCTATCAGCAACAATAGAAATTTCAATCAAATTAGTAGATCTTAAACATTCATCAAATTGAATGAAGGATTGTTTTATAGGTTCAACCCCACTAACTTTATCCTCAAAGCTGTGGAACGTGTTAAAATCTCCCTAAATAAGCCATTAGTCCTCCATATCAACCATAATACGACAAATAGAGTCCCATCAGGCTTGGCTTTTCACAAACATTGTCTCTTCATAAACAAAAGAGGCAAAGTAAGAGTCTTAGCTGTGTAAGTCCAAAAGTTTATTGTGAAGAATTTGGGCATTAGAGTAAACATAATCAACAGATGAGGGAGCCGAATGAGGGAGCTTTTTTTATGCACGTTATGATTGTTGGTGGGTATTTATTGTCAGATTCCTTTCTCGAGTCCTTATTCTCTCACCTCACCCGTGCCTTCTTCACTTTAATAAGCACTAGCCAATACCTTCAGCATTGCCGCTACTAACCACATCTGTGCTTGCCACAGTAAGCATCTATAGAGGTTGAGGATCATCATGTTTGCTCTGTCTATGTTGCTTTTCTTCATTCGTTAAGGTAAGGAGGGAGATAACATATGTGCTGGTGCTAGGAGAGGGAGATCACACTCGTGGTAAGGAGAAGGAGAAGAAGACGGAGGGAAGGAGTATAGAAAGGAGATGATACTGAAAGGGTTTGTGAAGACTCTTGCAAGATAATAAAGAAACAAATATAGGGCTTAGAGGAAAAGAGGAGGAGAAGAAGGACCTCAGTGTATGTTTTTGAGTGTGTGTGTGGGGCACTCTAAGCTTTGAGGAAGAAGATGATTGTGTGTTTCATTATTTTATATTTAATTATAATTTATTAATTAAGACAAAGTAAAGGAAGGAAAAAAATTTAAATCTTATTTCATTATTTAATTAAAATATACTCCATTTAATATAACCTTATCGGTGAAACATTAAATGGGGGAAAAATAAAATAAGATTAAAATGAAATGAGGTTTGCAATCTGAGAGCAAATTGTAGATAATATGAATTGAATATTTTATAATTTATGAATTTATTTTAAATTTTTTGAATATTTTGAATTTTATTATTTAATTATACCTTTTTAAAAACTAAGATTTTTGACTTATTAATGTATTTTATAGTTGCAATCTATTTTTTTTAAAAGAAATGTAATTTTAATCTTAATATTTTTTTGAAAAAAATCAAATTAGTCACAAAAATTTATATAACAAAACTCATGTCTATTGTGGTCATTATATATTACAACTGATTTTTGAATCAAATTATTTAAATAAATTTTAATTTATTTAACTAACTTTGAAAAAAAATATTCAAACATAAATTACATTACAATTACAGACCTTTTTTCCTAACCCTTAATTTGCTAATATCAATTAATTGCCAACCTCAACTACAGATTTTTTTAATTCAAACATACGGGTTGTCTTGCTTACAAGTAAGTGTTACAATGGCCTTCTGTGGGGCAATGGCCAATGAGATCCCTATTCACAATAGCTCTATCCTAAACCCTTCAAAAGTTTTGTTGATAGTCATGAAAATAGGAATGCTAATTTTTTGGCCATATCTGCTAGTAATTTGGCCCATGGATACCTTACTTTCGGCCATGAATGCTAATTTCTTGGAGCTCGCTTCTTGTTTTGTTTCAATATAGCTGCATGTTCCATTCAAAAAAAAAATCACCTCTTCAAAAGCACCCTATAAATGAACTATCTATCAGGCACCGTCCAGTGAATTCAACACACCAGTAGTCATAAGAAAGAGCCGCTTTATTATTTCCATATGCAGTACGTCGTATCCCTCTAGATCACATATTACATATTCAAACCAGAATGTTTCGAATATCACAGTCAATGCGGGCACACACACAAGACACTAAAAGAAACGAGGGACTACAGACACACACAGCATCATGAGAGGCTCAAAGAGCTTTGATGATATCTTCAGCACTTGAGACTGTGAATTCTCCTCCTTTTTCAACATTCGCAACCTTCACCTTGAGATCTTCAACCAGAAGGGCATACCTCCTAGAGCGGGTGCCCAGGCCTTTATCAGTAAGGTCAAGCTCCAGCCCCAGAGCTTGGCTATATTTGGATGAACCATCAGCTAGGAACTTCACATGCTTGTTCTCAGGGTAAGTTTTGGCCCATGCGTTCATCACGTATGGATCATTAACTGCAAAATTATATTTAACCACAAGTCAGCCACCTAATGAAAACGATCTGTATCAATATAAATCTCATGCTCATGAGCTCATCCCAGCAACATTATTTTCAGTATGCACGACTCTTCGAAACGTTAGAGAGTCATCTTTTATTCACCTCCATGGCACGGATGACAAATCTCAACCAATGAGGTCTAAGAAATTCAACCTACGTATGTCCTGTTCATGTTAAAAATTATAATTCAGGACAGTCCAAATATAATTATTTTCTTCTGCGTATACCTTTTAATTTAAATCAGTCTCTTTCATAAATTGGTAATGAAACTGAAAAGATTGATACTATTTCGCATCATCTTAACTCATTTAAGATTCAATTAATATTAAATTAAAAAAAAACAAAAGCCACAACTCTGCAACATGTTTTGACTTCTGACTGGGCCAAATTGAATGAATACAAGGATTATTCCAAAGGCACCGGTGAGTAAGCGGCAACATAGACAAATAGTCACACAAACTAGATATTTACCAGCGCAAGCATATCTTAGATGAAGATGCATATATGGAGCAGAATAAAACATTACTGGAAGAAAAATTAAGATGTGATATATACCACTAATACAGATGATTTCATCCACACCCTTCCCTTTCAACTCCTCTGCTCTCTCAATGAACCCAGGTACATGCTTCAAGCTGATAGATGGATAAAAATGTAACAGTAATTTTAAAATCAAGTTGATAGAAAGCTTTGCAGGGAATTCGATGACGTAAACGTATACATATCCTATTGACAATTATGCAGGATAGGATTGCACTATTCCAAAATATAAAATTTTAGGAACCAGCAGTTGACTTTGGCTTGCAACAATGACAGTGACTTTCACGGACTCTCATTTCCTCTCTATTGGTTGAGCACCATGACTCATTCAATAATCGTACCACACTCCCAAGCTCCAAGGAAATTTTAAACGATCGAGGAAAACATGCAGACTTGGATCAGGCATAAAATGAGATTAGCAGCAAAAATAGCCCCAGCAATTCTACATTAAATGCCGAAAATACATAGACTCCTCGTCCTCAACTTCGATCAAAAGGAAACGGGTCAAACTAATGCGACAGACAGAAAAGGCAATTGGAATGAAAAAGCAGCAAATTTTGACAAGGCCAGTGCCCTATACACTGAGACGAGAAGCAGTCGAATCGGGTAATCTTTAGGGTTCAATATGCTAACCAATTTCTTCTAGTTCTAAATTTCTTAACGCAATAAACTACGAATAGCAGCAAAATCCAAGAGTTCTTACCTGCAAGTAGGGGTGAAGGCACCGGGAACACCAACGATGATGACCTTCTTACCGGCGGCAAGGGAGTGGATAGACACGGTTTGAGGCTTGTTATCATCATCCAAGTAGGACAAAACTCCGTCAGGAATCACATCTCCAGCTGCGATCGGAGCCATTGAAGCCGCCTGAAATGAGGAAAGTGACAACTGAGCCACTGCAATATATGAAGCTAGTGGAAAAGCTTCAAACTGGTGTGCTATAAGGGCGCCACGCATTTTTCCGTACTTCACTCGCTATTGTGCTATATTTGATAATAAAATTTGGAGTCCGGACATTTTTAACTCGATTTTTTGTTTTTTCCCCCTCATCCAATTAATTAGTGCGACATCAGGTGGGTAAAACATAACGATAGATCCAATGGTTTTATTGGATTTTTAAATTTTTTAATATTTTTAATTTTTATAATTTTGATAAGATCAGACACGGTCACGCACGCCCCACTAACTTTAGTATTTTCAATCCTTAATATTAAAAAAATTATAAAAATTAAAAATAAAATTCATTATACTATAAAAATCAATAATTATATTTTTAAAAAAATAAAAAAATTTTAAAATTACAAGTTAAAACTTTCTATTGTTCAAAGACGCTAAAAAAATTTAAATATTAATTTAATTTTTTAATTTTACATAATATTTTATTTTAATCTCCTAATTTTATAAAGTATTTTTTAATTTTTAAATTCTAAAACAATTATTTATATCATAAAATTTTTTATTAAACTTTTAAATATTAACAAAAATATTTTTAAAAATTGATACATTAAGTTTAATTTTTTAAAAAAATAATAATGATTGATATAAAAATAATTATTTAAAACATGTTGGAGTTAAGAAATTGAAAATATATTTTATAAAAATTCAGACATTAAATTAAAATTTTATATAAAATTAGAAAATTAAAAATATATTTAGTTTAGCTAAAAAAAATACATGCTTTGCTTGTTGGCTAAGCTAATGTAATTTTAATTTTAAATTTAATCAAATTAAATTTTAATTATGAATTTATTATTATTTAATAAAATGCTAACAATTCATTTGTTGATTATGAATATAATTATTTTATCTTGAGCATTCACTTGAAACATTAAGCCAATAAAATTTGCCGTCGCCCTTGATTTTTGTGGAGAATGTGTGAATGGAATAATTCGTAATGATTGTTTCAAAGGAATAATTTCGTAATTATGGGGTATGGGCAACATTGATGGTGCAGGGTCAAGGAGATGGGCAAAGCACATGACCTCCATTTTTTAAAAAATGTTTTTCTTAATATTTATATATACATTATCACACCACCCTAATCAATATTAATAACATTCTTTCTGTTTAAAAATATAAAATATTTTTAATTAAATCTTATTATTTAATAAAATAATTATTTATTTTTAAACTATCCTATCTTTTTATATTTATTTCTATTAAATATCCTATAATAAATATAAAGTTATGTATCGATAGTGACACTTTAAAAAAAACAATAATTATAATTTAAAAGATTGAAAATGTCATTTTAAAACATTTAATTTTTTAAAAAATGTTTACAGAGAGGAAGTATATTTTAATTGAGTTATTATTATAAGATATTTTCATTCCAATTTTGAGGTTTTTTTTTTTTGGGGTGAAATCTTGGCATAAATGATGAGTTGGAGTATTAATTGAAAATTCATCTCCTGATCACATTCATGCATTTTGCGCACAGATACACCCAGGCCGGCAGCAGTTTCGTTGGCAACCACTTTTGCGTGGCTTGCAGGGAAATTACTTTGCATTATTTCACTATTCTTAAAAAAAAAAATTCAATTTTTATTTCAATAATTCTAGACATACTCCCTCCGTTACTATTTATAAAACACTTTTTAATAAGAGCAAACAAAAATGATCAATTCAAACCAATCCAATCAAAACCTAATAAAATTGATCATTAGTAATGTTTGATTTGGTTTTATAAATTTAAAAACTTAATGGTTTAGTTTAAATTTCAATTTTTTTCTTAAAACATTTACCAAATTTGAATCATACCTTTTATATTTTTTAAGAGTATTTTTCATAATTAATATTAGATTATTAATTAGCGTTTATTATTTTTAAATTTTAACCTCAACAAAAGTTTACTCTAAGCCCAAAATACTTTAATAACATCCACAACCCTACATTTCTCAATTTTGATAATTTCTTTTAGAATAAAATATGATCCAAACTAACAAGAAGTGTATTATATTGGTCGTTGTTGATTGAGGAGAGTCAAATACTTCATGACTTTTATTGATTTAAAACAAGTTTATTTTCATTATAGATCTTAAGATAATGTCTAATGAAATTTATCTCATGTTAACATTACTTATAATGCATACACTCTTATGCTTATTAAGAACAAAATTTGAGCATTTTTATTTTTGATTTGATATTCATTTCTCATCAATAATAAAGTTGAGAATGTAACTTAATTTTGGAATATGAAAGGAAAAAAAAGAGTTAAAAAAATATTAAAACTTGATCCATGCGTGAACCAAACCGCTTAAAAATAAACCAAACCAACCTTAATAAAAAAAAAAAAACCAATCAAGAGTCATTCTTTGTGCAAACAGATTAGTTTGATTCTATTCATGTTTTAATTAAAACTAAAATAAACCATACCTTTGATCATCCTTACTTTCTAGAAGTAATTTTTTGTTTAAAATATAAGACTTATTGTAATAGTTAAATTATTTTTTTAATTTTATCTTTTCTTGATTAATGTGAAGATACTTAATGTAGTTATATTATTATTTAAAATTAAGGATAAAAATAATAGTATTTTTTATTCTTTAATGATATTAAGAAAGAAAAAACTAGCTTTTTTTAGTGTGAAATGTCTATCATAACTGATGTTGGCAAAATGACTACGGAGAACCATGGTTGACTCGGTGCTGGTTGAATCGGCGGTATTTTTTTTAAAATTTATTATAAGGCGTGCTTATATGTAAAGCCGAAAAAAACGGACCGAGCCCGTCGGGCCTACCCGTTTAAGCCCGTATAATAGGAGGGCCGAGCTTACAATTAGAACTTCAAAATGGAAAACGGTCTCAAACGGGCTGGCCCGTTTAGGCCCTAATTTAAACGGGCTAGCCCTAAAGGGCCAAGGGCCAGCTTGTTTAAGCCCTTATATTTTTTTTAATATAATAAACTAATGAGCAAAAGACTGGGCTGGACAAAAATTATGAGTTGGATTAGAGCCCATATTTCTAAAGGACAGAAGGACGAAATAAAAAAAACCAACCCTAATCTAAATCTTGTTCACTTTCAGTTCTGACTTTCATGCGGTGCGTCTCTTTTTGCTTTGGCTAAGCTGCTGAGTGCTGTCACCTGTCTGTGCACTGTGTTAACTAGCTCCCGTGAGTGAAGTAAGGCTCATCTGATCTCTAAATCTTCTCGGCGTCTTACTCAATCGCTCTTACCTTGCTCCCGTCAGAGTGTGGGGACCAGGACAACGAAGTTGCGGTCGTCAGTTCATCACGCTCTCATCTATAAATCTTCTCGCCATCGCCGACATCAGTTCGCTAGTTCATCAGTTCGTTAGTTCTATGCTGCTAGCTGTTGTGCTTTTCGCACAGCTCGCCGTCGTCCTATCTCCCTCCTCAGCTCGAAAGTAGCGTTCAAAGGCTGTAGTTCTAACCCCCACCGTGGCATCGATCTTCCACCGTCTTGCTGTTGCCATCAAGGTCGTGCATTGGTGTATTTCTGCCGTCATTCTGAACACAAGTTTACCAAGCCGAAGACTTCTCCTCTTTTGCTCGTGTGTTCTCTGTTCTTGCAAAATCACAAAGCCGTACTGTGTTGAGTTCTATTCTTATGTTCTCCATTCCTGAGTTCACAAAGTTCTCATTCATCAATGCTGTGTTGTGCTTGTACTCTTCAACCTTCCCTCTCTTCTCATTCACAAAGTTCTCATTCATCAATTGCTCGTACAGGTCTGAGTTTTCTCCTCTTTTACTTGGGTATTTGGGTGTTCTGTTCTAGCTTTAATTTGTGGCTAATTTATTTCTTTTACTTTGATGCAATGCAATAGGTAGACAGTATTGGGAATTTACAATGTCTGCCTCACAATCACATAAGAGTAAGAGTAAGGCAACCAATGTGTCTAGCAATGACTTAGCCAAGTATGATATGATCCCTAGTTCAGCTGTTGGCAGTGGCAATATCGTTGGAAAAGATAAAGGGAAAGTACTTGCTAGTATTGTTCAAGAGGTAGAGGACGTTCAGGTGGATGATGAACTGAAAACTAAAAGGTCCAGAGGTAAGTCATGTTCTTCTGTTCAGGAGACTGATGAATCCAAGTCTAAAAAAGCTAGAACTTTAACTTCTGATGTTTGGAAGTATTTTACTAGAATTGAGGTTAATGGGAAACCTAAAGCAAGGTGTAATGGCTGTCAAACTCTACTAGCATCTAGTAGGGCTAATGGTACTTCACATTTAAATAGGCATGCTAGATCTTGTAAAGTTTTGGACAAATTTCATGATATTGGAGTGATGTTATTGGATAAAGAAGGCAATATTAGGTGTCGAAAAATTAATAATATGCGAATTCGAAGGATTATAACTATGGCCATAATTGAACATGATCTTCCTTATTCCTTTGTTGAATACAAGTGGATCAAAGAACTACTTTTGACATTGAATCCTGATGTTAGGCTCTTTACTAGAAAAACTGCTGTTGCTGATGTTATGAAATTCTTCCTTCGACAAAAAGAAAATTTGAAACAAAAGTTGAAGAGAAGTAATAGTAAAATTTGTTTGACATCTGATTGTTGGACTTCTGTGACTTCTGAAGGGTATATTTGTTTGACAGCTCATTTTGTGGATGAAAGGTGGAAATTATGTAGTAAAATACTTTCATTTTGTAAAATGGAACCTCCACATTCTGGGATAGAGCTAGCTAGAAAAGTACATGAATATTTGACTGATTGGGGGATTGAGAATAGAATATTCTCTATTACTTTAAACAATGCATCTGCAAATGATAATATGCAAGACATATTAAAAGAGAGGTTGAGTTTGCAAGATGATTTCAAATTAGTGAGTAATGGAGAATTTTTCCATGTGATGTGTTGTGCTCATATCCTAAACTTGATAGTTCAGGAGGGTTTGAAAGTTACAAGTTTTACTTTGCATAAAATTAGAGAAAGTATTAAATTTGTGAAAGCATCAGAGGCAAGGTCAATTCTTTTTAAACAATGTGTTGAGCAAGTTGGTAGCATTGACACCTCAATGGGCTTACGGCTAGATGTGCCCACTAGATAGAATTCCACTTACACAATGCTTGAAAGTGGAATTAAATATCGTCGTGCTTTTGCACACATGGCTGTCAATGATACAAATTACAAGTTTGGTCTCACAAATGATGAGTGGGCTAGAGCAGATGCAATGTGTAGCTTCTTGAGGCCATTTGAGAAGATTACAAGGTTGATTTCTCGGTTATCATATCCTACATCAAACTTTTATTTTATGCAAATTTCCAAAATTGAGATGTTGCTTGATGCAAATATGAAGAGCCCTGATCCTGTGATTCAAGAGATGGCTAGAAAAATGAAACAGAAGTTTGACAAGTATTGGAATGAGTACAGTGTCATTCTTGCACTTGCAATAGTTTTTGATCCAAGATGGAAGTTTAATATAATACAATATTGCTATACGAAGATTGACCCTATCACTTGCCATGAGAAGGTTGCTAATATTAAGAGCAAGTTAATATTCATGTTTAATGAATATTCAAGCATGGGGACATCTACCAATCTTGAAGTTGATGGGGCTACAAGTGGATCAAGTTATAAAGCTTCAATAGTCACCACTCATCATTCTTCCTTGGCTTCAAGTGTTTCAACATCAACCTCTTTTGATGATGCCTTTGATGTAAGTTTTAAATTCCTTGTTTTTTTAAATTCTTTTGCCTTTTTCATTAATCTAGTATTTGTTTGATATTTTTTTAATCCTTTATAAATAATGATGCAAGATTATCAAGACATTTATGCAATTATGGACCATTCTTCCTTGGATAAGTCTGAATTGAAAATTATTTGGAGGAACCAATACTAAAGCCTGATAGTTGGAAAGAATTGGATGTCTTAAATTGGTGGAAGAGTAATCAACACCGATATCCAATTCTTTCGAGGATGGCGGCTGATATTCTTAGCATTCCGATCACTACAGTAGCTAGTGAGTCAGCTTTTAGTATCGGTTCGCGCGTCCTAACAAAGTATCGGAGTTTCATTCTTCCAGCTAATGTTCAGGCTATCATTTGCGTTCGTAATTGGTTACATGGTTTTGTGTATAATGGTAATTTTAATTTATATTTATTTTATTTTTTATCGTGCAAATTGCAAACAACATGAGAAATAATAACTATAATTGTGTGAGTATTTTTGTTTATTATTTGTTGCAGATAATGAAGGTGAAGAAGAAGAAGAAGAAAGTCTTGATATTTTTGCCCCTGATGAGCCAGCTATAAGTGAATCACAATCAAATTTTGTTGAGCTTGATGATAGTAAAGAAGAAGATAATGATGATGCTACCAATGTTTGAGTTATTGAGTATTTATGTGTATTTATTTAAAGATTTTCACGAGACTATGGTTCTTAGTGGTGGTGGATATTGAATAGATTCAGCTCATCTTAGCTTCATTGCATGCTATCATTTTTATTTAGATTGTGTTTCTAACATCTAACTCATTTAGATGTTTTGTTTCTTTGGATATTGCTACTTGTTAAGTTTATTGCTACTTATTTATTATGGTTAGTTTGATTGTTTATTGCTTATTGTTGTTTAGCTTATGTCATAAAGGAATGATTGAACCAATTTTAATTTAAGAAAAAAAAAGGCAAAAGGGCTCGAAGCCCGCAGGGCCGGCCCTAAGCCAGTTATGCTTAGGGCCGGGCTTCAAGATTGAGCCCCTCAAAGGAAACTCGGGCTTAAACGGGCTGGCCCTTTTAGGCCCGAGCCCTTCAAGGGTTGGACCAGCCCGTTTTCCCAACTCTACTTATATGAGATGCATTTTAAAAGATTTTTATGGTGTCAAATATAAGACACTACTTTGAAAAAAATTTATAGCATAATATTTTTATTTTTTACAAATATTTTTATTAATTATGGTTATAGAAAAATAATACTTTTCTAACTCTATTTATAGGTAAAAATAAAAGATTAATTTTGGTCTCATTTGTAAAGAACTTCACTTTTTTTTTATTTTCATCTTTACCTTTTTATTCTTATTAAATGTTATAAAAATTATTAAAAATAAGTCTTTTTATCCTAATTAGGGGGTAGAGTGGAAACTCAACAATTTTTTTTGATAAAAAAATTATTAAATTTTAAAATAAAATTAATGAGTTTTAAATTTTTTTTAATTCCGTTAAAACATGCTATAAGTGATTTATAAATATGATTAGAGGAAAGCATACTAAAGAGATAAAAGATAATTAAAACAGGCTGAATCTAATTAAAATAGTCTTGAAAATTAGTGGTATTTTTTTACAATTTAATGATACAAAATATTTTTAACTACTCTTAACCTGTGTGAAATAATTGAAAATGTATTATATGAAGGACGGAGGAGGGGGCATTATAGATTTTTTTTTAAAAAAAACCAATAATAGCTAGATGAGATCCGAATGAAATAGGTAAAATATTTTTAGGAAAGCCTTTAAGAATCAAAACGATGAAACAAAAAGCGATAAATTAAGAAATAATTTTATAATCATGTAGAAAGAGGAAAATGTAAAATCATTTGATGGGTTATGCTGTGAAGTTTTAAAATCTTCACCAAGACAAGAATACAAATGAATATTGCTAGGGTGGTTGTGATTGCATTTCTATGAGGCGACCAATTAAAATTGCCATCAACTTGAAGGTATGATTGATTTTTGACTACTGGAATGAATTGAAGTATGTAAAAGTAAAACTGGACGAAGTAAAATCACACGAGGAGATGAAAAGAGTTCAGAAGGCTGTGTCCCATGCAATAATAGAAGCATTTGATAAATAAGGCAAGGTGGAGAAAAGCCAAGAAAAAAATGCACATACAAATCCCATGCCTGGCTTTCTTATGAAAGGAAATCAGGAGATAAGGGAGCGAGAAGTCCTCCATAGAGTAGAACAATACAAATTGTCTTGCTTATGCTTTATTATACTTGGCTTCACAGAAATGAGGTTTTGTTAAATTTGGACGGCTAGAGAATGGATGTTTAATGGTTGGTCTTTTGTTTTTCTTAAAAAACAAAGCAAAAGCAAAAGCAAACTCTTTAGTAGGCGCACACTCCTTACTAACTCTAAAAGCAAGAGACGTGAACCTTGTGTGGCGGTGTCTTGCGTGACAATCATCATGCGGATTCAGTGGCAAATCCTCTTGCAATTGCTGAATTAACTAGCCTGATTCATGGTCTTGATATTTGTTGGTTGAAAGGACTCGTAAAAGTGCATCTCTATACTGACTGCATAGAGGCCATTTCATTGATTCTTGAAGGCTGTAACAGGTGAATTCCCTTTGCTGATTTTGTTGACAGAAGCAAGATCTCTTTACCTTGGGGATTGGCAAGTAGCGATCAAACACGTGTACTGGGAGGAGAACAAGCAAGCACATCTCCTGGCCAACTTCTCTCACACTTTAAATTCAAACTTCATAATCCTAGATAACCCTCCCCTTTGTATATCAGAAGGTGGTGGTTGGTGAAGGAATTTTGTTTTGTTTGACGTATTTTACTCTTTATTAACAATCAAGCACATCCCCCTTGCCAACTTCTTCTTCTTGATGTTGTTGTTGAGCTAGCAAAACAGTATCTGCCACGGTTTAATTTCAACTTCTGCTAATAACCTTGTTTAATGCTTGTCACTTCCCAGCGCGACACTCAAAAAAAAAAAAAAAAGGAAAAGAAAAGAAAGAAGACGGTAAGAACTGGCAGTCTGAAAAATCATTCATGTTAACATTTCCCTGCATATCCACTTCTAAGCTATGTACATCTTAAAAAATGTATCATATATCTCTAACAAAAGCATTTCAAAGGTTTAATGAATTTAATATCGGTCGGTCAGATACGTGAATGACCTTTCTCTCCAGCAGGAAAATTTTGTTCACCCTCTTAGTTTATTACCCGTGCCTGCAAATTATCAGGGCATACAATAACTCTCTTGGGGGGGGGGGGGGGGAATCGAACACTATTGTTTTAAGTCAAACTTGTTTTTTCCGTTTGATTGGAAAAGCCAAGCATGTATGCTTCTTGGTGAGCTGGAGCAAATTTCTCTCCAGAAAAGAATTGTAATCAATACATTCTAACAGGATGATTCTAAGGGAAAAAGGGGTACCTGAATTCGGCCACCAGAGGTTCCAATCACCAAAATTTCTTCATTGCCTTCGATAGCCATGCAAGCAATCTTAACTTTTGTACCAATCTGTAATGTATCAATTCTATTCTGTTTCTTCCTATCCCAAATTTCCACAGCTCTTCCCTTGCATCCTAAGTAAATTAATTCTGAGCTCATTGCCATCGTCCTCATTTCTGATGCAGTTACAAGTGATCCAATCATATTGTAATTGGACGTGTTCCATATCTTGCGTACAAAGTTAGATGATTAACTTCGGTACACCATTCACTGAAGCAGCATCAATTACTTTAGATTCCTTTTCATACTACAAAACCCTAGACAACCCTTGGGGAAGAACTGTCGTTTATTCCAAGAATCTGAATAAATTCTTGGGCGATGAAAGGAGAATGAAATCCTCGTGCTTATGAGTTATGAACTATTGTAAACTTATTAGGTTCATTTTGGAGGTAACACGGATGTTTATTATGGGAATCATTCAAAATTTTAACTGCTTACTCGGAAGTTTCACCCCGAACATGATTACGAGACTCAGGAAGGGGCAATTTGTTTAATTTTCTGCCTTTTCCTTCTAAGTATTTCTAGATTATGGTAGAGATACCTTTATAGCAGCTCCATCCAAAGTAGAACTGGCTGCATAGATACATTCACCACGAATCTGCAGGGCATAAACGTGATTTGCTTCACCAAGCAATCTTTTAGAACCACTTTGAATTTGACAGTTCCTGTTTCCAAATCTATCTCCTGAAATTTCAAATGGGCATTATTTTCAGAATTGTGAAAAGAGTCACAGTGGGTTTAGACAGTCAGAACTCTGAAAACTTGCTACCTGAATACTGGTGTCGTGGCATCCACAGTAAAGTCTTTCGTGAACAAGAGTCAAGCACCTGACGTATTTGTTACTGTTTAACAGCCTCAATTCGCCATTCAATGATTGAACCTTCAGAAATAACAACGTTGTTTCGGACTTCAGGTGAATAAATGATTTCACTTTTTTTCCAACTACACAAGACCTAGCTAATAAGCATTACATTCATTAGCGGGAGAAGAAGCATCAAGCTCCCTGCAGTTAAAACTAGGCCACTCAGAGATTTACCTTTTAAAGAAAGAATCAGAGAGAGCAAAGTAAAAGAAAACAATGCAACATGTAACTCGTAACAATTAATCAAGCAGGATGTACGAGTGTAACAGAAAAGCTTTTTCCTACTAAGAGGAAGACTCGTGTTATTTTGGGATCTGGCGTGCCTGGTCACATCAGACTCTGGCCCATCCGATGAAAAAACATCAAGGATTCATGATTTCATTCAGTACCTTGACACCATTTCCCTGAGGAATGTAGCAGAATTTGCTGTTGGTTATAGCTAAATTACGAATGTGATCTTTCATATCATGCAACTGCCCACTGTATTGCTGATTTTCCGAGAGACCAGACCTGGTCATCAATGAAAAGAGAGTTTTATTGAGATGGAAGTATAACATTTTTTTTTTTCAGACAAAAAAGAATAGAGGACATTACCTTTACAGATCAATCAAGTGAACTACTGCATAGTTTGTCACCCAGCTTCCAAAATTTCCAAACTTGAAGCAGCTTTCATGTGTTCTTGCGTCTGTTGTGTCAGATGGAATAAGTTCCCCCTCGCTGTGTAGACCTTTAGAAATTACAAAGAATTTGTCAAATGAGCTTATGTTTTTATATTGCACAAAGCTGTTAGAAAAATTAGACCATAAAATTTGTTTTTGTCCAGTTCAAGTTTGTCCTTAGTTTCAAGCTATTCAACCTATCAAGCATGTCGCATAATATCAGTAGATTCCCTTTTGTTAAGCATAAATCTACGTTTGAACATAATTGGCTCTTGCATGAACCCAGCACTTCCACCAACAATCAAGCACAAGTTGCTAGTTTGATCACATGTACATTGGTTAAAGTAAACATTGGTTTAGTTTCAACTTATTATTCCAGTTATTCAAGTAGTTTGTTTTCTGCAATTAAAAATCATTTGAGGTGCTGAAAATATTTGCAACAGTTTAATTACCTTGATACTTCCATCTGAATGGCTTGAAAAAATTTTATCCTTATGACAAATGACAGACAACACTTCTCCATTCTCACTGCAGTCCACCTGAATCAACTCTTTATGCATCTAGATGTCCTGTTTCAATCAAGAACATTTACATGGCTAACACAGCGGTTCTATTTTAAAATGATTTAATAATATAGCAAACTTACTGCTTTAGATTCATTCTTTTCAACCAGAACTTTAAGCATTTCAGGTGCAAGGAGGGAGAATCTCTTTAGCTCTCTCAGACCTTTTAGGACATCCCTAGTGTAGGAAGTAAGATCAAGCACTCCATCTAAAATTTACAATGTCAAGCGCACTCCCCATTTTCTGAATTTCTAAAATAATGACACGCCGTCTTACATGTATCAGCAAATGGTATAAAGTAAAACAATTCACTTCAAGTCTTAGAGCTTTATGAACACGGCATGAGGAGACTTGTTTGACACTGATCAAAATATAAAGATGCCAAAATAATGATATACATATATAAACCCTGAAATAAATTAGTTTGTTGCATTTTGTGTCTTATTATTTTTCATCCAGATGCAGCCAACTTGCTTTTCATTATTTCTTAAATAGAACTTTTGGTTCAAACAGAAAAGCATGGCTTGTACAACTTACCAGGGTGCTGAAGAAAGCTATTTAAAGCGAGCATCGAAAGGACTCTATCTTCTGTGTCCTTAGCAGATTTTAATATAGATACAAAGCGCTTGAGCATGCAGACACAAGCTGCTCCTCGCATTCCTGTATCAGGTAGAATGTTAAGCATGTATGTAAGCCATGTGGCTGATATAAAGCATGATGAACATAGCTGTGTACTTCAGCTTTTCAGGCCTTTGGAAAGCCTCAAAAGGTAGGTCAAACTCATGGCTAACTAAAACGGATGCAATTTTTCTCTCCCAATCTTCCAGTTGTTTTCAAATAGAAATGAAAATAATAATAAATAAGGTAACCAAAAGCATTATCTTTGTTATCAGGATGTGTAATATCCTGAATTTTAATTCTCAAACTTAAGATATTAATTATGGGAGATTAGTAATGAGTTAAGAGTTGAATGGTTTGGAAACAGTTAGAATGGATTATCGGAACTAATTATTGTCAGTTACAGCCTTAAGATCGGATCTGGAAGCTTAATGAGCCGTGCAGGCCCAAAATGAGAGAGTTATGAGATCCTGGGTTTTGAATTTCATCTGCGGGCAGGATGATAATTTTACTAAACATGGTTAGATTGTTGCGTAACAAGTGGTAGGGATGGGATAACAATAAAAAAGAGGAAAATGAGGGGCATTTTGGAGATTTCATGGACTTTGAAATTTGGCGGAACCCAGGCATGCCGCCCTGCCGGCCAAATAAGCCGTTACAAGGAACAGTATATTCACATATTCATCACATTGAATTAAAGCCAAAGCCGTGATTCAATCCCTCCGCGATGCTCACTTTCACTTTCGCGTTCACTAGTCAAGTAGTCATGTTCTTCTGCTTCCACTATTTTACACCTCAATCTCTTCCACACATCGTCTCCTTTCTTTTATTATTTTTTCTTAAATCCTACTAGCGTTATACGCAAGCATCATTCCATTTCTTTCCACGTGCCTTGTGTGTGTTCTTTTTCTTTTTCCTTTTTTTTTTCAGTTGTTGTTTTGCTTAGTTTGCTTCAATTTTCTCAATTCAAATTGATCGAACATTAGTAGCTTAAGTTTGGATTTTGTAAATATCATATCTAAGTTGCTTGTTTGTGTTTTCATTTCTCTTTTAAGTTGTGATGGTGTTCTTTGCAATGTTTTAAAACTCAAACTAGATCGAATGATTCGACCGTCTATCACTTAATAAAACGACCTAGTTCAACCATTTGGATCACTTTCACATTCAGACAGGGTTGACTTGGATAGTTTTAAAAGAACCGAATTTGATTCAGAAATCGAAATGAGTCAACCTAGGTCAAAGCCAAAAAAAAATTTTAAAAAAATGTAGGCTAAGTTACTCAAATTCATAATTTCTCTTCTCTAATCTCTAACCTCTCCTCCATGACTTAAGCCCAATTTCTAACCTCTCTTCCAGCTTCTACTTCTAACTCTAGCAATCCAGTCTTTGACATCAAAATCAAAAGCTCATGAATCATAATATAATGATGTACCTCCAACTCCAGTGTTTTACTTCAAGATCGTGAGCTTGTGACTACATGTCTCTACCTTTAGCTCCAGCAGTCTACACATCTAACCTTTGGCGTTGAGATTCCAAACACCATCAACAAATTAATGTTTTATTTATATATTTTTTATAAATAAATATTATTTTTATTTAATTTTTACGTTACTAATTCAAATTGCCGGTCTTACCAATTGAATCATGAAAATCGCGGTTCGTTGCTCTTTTCGATTTAATATCCAATCCAAGTTTCAAAACAATGGTTCTTTGTGCTTGAAAAAAAGAAAAAATTTGAAGAAAATGAATTTCAAGTGAAACTCAAGTGGCTTTAATATCAAGAAAGAAATGAATTCATTGTTTTCATCACAAGATGAATTGATTGCTTGCACGAGTTGTTTGAATGAAAGAAGACAATATCATATGCATTTAAATGCTACTTATACTCCATGTATTGGTTCTTCTCAATATTATGACTTTTGTTATATTTATTATAGACAAAGTCATTCTTGTGAGTGTTGTTATCTTAGCAAAGTCTCTAACTATATGGGGGATGATTTCATTAAAAGCAAGACTTATTTTGATCATTCTTTTAATCCTAATTGGAGTTTACAGAAACATGAGTTTCTGGATCCTCATTTAGATTATTATTTAAATGAAATAACCCCACCTTTTCACTCTCATCTGTTGAAGAAAATGTCTAAGAGTATAAGAAAGAGTCTTGCTTAGAAAGATAATTTGAGGACCTTACGGATGTATCAAAGAAACTTACAAATTCACAAAAAAATTGTCACTAGTGTTGAGTCAAGTGTTGAAAATATTAGAACCTATATAAGCCAAATATTAAAAGATATTAAAAAGGTAAAGCAACAAAACACTACCATCATAGGTTTTTGTGTGTCTTTTTAAGTGTCTCCAGTTTTGTTTTGTTTATTTTTTTTTAAAGTTTTTTATTGGGATAGATAAACAATATAAGTTATTTGTCCTTACGTTTCGTGTTGCCTTTTGTATTCAGCTTCAGACTTTTGATTCAGCTCAAGCAAGGACTTAATTTTTATTAATAAAAGTTTAGATAACTTAGGTACCCTTTATCAGGGCATGTTTTCAAATTCAAAAAAACGTTACAAAACTATTCACTTACAAGGTTCTTACAAAATTCATAGCGGGATTTAATCTTATTATCTTGTAAATCAATCATTATGATTTGTATAAATTTTATTGGTAAAACTTTAGAGGAAATCAGGCATGCATGGATTTTGTTGTCGTTAATAACAATCGTGATGTCCCTAGGTTTCGTATGCGAGCAAGGCATCCTCGTTCGTGATCCAACTCGCTTGCTTTATTTCCTTCCCATTTGTTCAATATTCAAAATACTTATCACATTCTTCTCATTGATCCTGACCAGTTACCAGTACTCATAATAGCCCAGATCCTATTACATTCTATACATACATTTTTACATTTTCTAAAAAAAAAAAATTCTCCACACATCTTAGTGTGCATGCAACTTTATATTTTATTTTTGAATTTAATATTTTCATAAATTATACTATTTTTTATAATACTAACAGGATGTAGTTTGAATTTTTATAATTTTTTTAATATATGAGACCTTTAATAAAAATAAGTTCATTCAGAGACTATAATGATATTCTCCAATACAATTTAATGTATCAAAGGGCTTATAGGGCCAACCTACCAGACGAGCCCACTTAACGCACATTCCTAGCTGCATTGGCCCAGCCCAATATGATATTCAAAGATCGTCTTGGCCCATAATGAATCGTTTCTTTTAATATTATGTACATACTGATGATTTCAAAATTATTTCATTTATTTGGCAGTATTTTAATCCCTGGTTTGTTAAAGGAAAATGAACTATGGAAAATGATCATAACACAAAAAATTAGCCTCCAAAAAAGCATACAAGACGACCAAGAATATGACATTGAAACGACAAGCAGCTACAAAAGTCTACGTTGGAGCCTTGGAGGCAATAATGGACGACCTATGTCGCATCATCAAACATCTGAATTCTGAAAGAAGAATCGATTGACAATATAATGGAAATGACATGGCCTGGCGTTTTTGGGATTATTTGTTGCAACGAAAATCCATTCTTGTGCTGCAGCCAAAGGCATATTTATTTCTCTGAATATAGGAAAAATTATATTAAAAACAAAAAACCTGGCATAGGAGCCAAGCATAGTCGGGGAGGGAAAAGCTCTTGGATGTCTTCGTTGATGATTGGATGCAATCTACATGCAGGATCTAACTAGAAGAAGAATCTCGATTTATACATGAAAAACTGATCATTTTCAGTGGAAAAATTAAAGGCATATTTACGAGAAAATCATTTAATGAAAGCAACTAATTTCAAAATTAAAATAAAAGATGTTCAAATATTATGTCAAAAAATAATACTCCCTCCAGTCTTATTTATAAAGTACATTTTAGAAGTAATTTTTGATCAAAAATATAGAATATCTTGTAATAATTAAACTACTTTTTTATAATTTTATTTCTTCTTGATTAGTATTAAGGTATTTATTATAATTGTATTATTATTTAAAGCTAAAAATAACAACAAAAGTATATTTAATTTTTTTAATATTAAAAAAATAATTTTTTTATATGCGAGAAACAATTGAATGATGATGATGGCAAGTCAAATAAGTTTCCTTGTTTATACAAATGGATATATAGATTGGTAGCCCCCACGTGAATGCAAAATTGCTGGTATTCTCATCTTCATCTTGCATGGGATTTCCGTTGATAGATTCTTCTTGGGATTCTTGTCAAGATAAAAGCACATATACAGAAATCAAATGTTCTCAATAATTAGAGCTACTATTTGGAAATTATGGGACGTGACCTGATAGGTATAAGGTGCTATTTTAATTTCTTGTCGTTGTTCTTTGTGAATCTACTGTACATGGATTAGATATCGGTTTTTTTTTTGTTGGGTTGGCCTGAAGATTAGATATCGTTCTTGTCATTATGTAATACATAAATCCATATTTTTAAGTCAAGCTTGGTTTTTAATCATTCTTCGACCACCTAAATTTTATTTCGTCTAATTATCCCGGGCATAAAAAGGAGTTTTGTTTTCCAATTAATTATATTTACAAACGGATATAAAAATATCGTCCAACTATTAACATTTAAATTTACAATAATCAAGTACTGCTATACATTAGCAATAAGATCTCAAATCCCGAAGTTTGATTCAGTGATATAACGTGGTTTTGTGTTTGGAATATATAATGGACATACGGAAGAGATTCATCTTTTATGCATTAGGCTATCATTTGCATATCTTTTTTTTCTTTGCCTGAAATAATGCTGTCAATACATCAATCATTCTCATATGTAAAGAATTCATCATAACCTCTTAGATGTAATTTAAGATCAACTTAGATATTCCTTAATGCTAATCATAGGTATTTGTGTGTGTTTAATTGTCCTTAGTCCCAAAAAATAAAGAAAGATTGAAGAGCTAGAAGCTGGAGATCAGATGAGGATGAAAATGACAAATGTAGTCACTAGTCGACGTAGCTTAGCATTAATTCATCAATGATTGATGATTGATCATACAAATAATATTGCATATACACATTAACTAAAATCTAGGATAGGCCGATATCATCATCATCATATCGGTTAAGCTAATTGATTAAGGAAGATAATAGCGAAAAGCTGGATTTAATTTGCATGAACAACAGTAGTAGTCCTTTAAATAATTAGGAGGAAGCTAGAGATTGCAAATTGGGAATTAATTAATTGATGAGAAGACAGTACATGACTCAAGCATCAGTGTTATTCAGGAAGAAGCAGTATAGCATCATGAGCAATCAGCCTTGGAAAGTCTTATAGCAGATTGACTGCTCATGATGGTATAGCATCATTTCCTTGAATTAATTTGGTTCTTTCATCTGTGTCCTTCCATGCATGATCTGGCTTCTTTTTCTTCTTCTTATGCGATAATATTAATTAATGGCCAAATAATTCTGATCTATCGAAACCCTGCGCCTAGTGCAGGAGCCCAATAGTCTGCTCCATTATCACTCCCAACTTGCATTGTGCACGACACTGGAACCAGACACAATCCTCTACTTCTCAGGTCCTTCTTCCCTTCTTCTTTTGATTCCTATATATATATATATATATTTAGATAGTATCATAGTAACACCGTCAATACATATATATGATTATAATCAGAGGTTACTTAGTGGAAAAAGAATTAGTAATTATTACCTGCGGATTACTACAAGGCGCTTTCCTCTTCAAGCTGTTTTCATTCAGCAGCTGATGATGAAAGCCAGAAAATATACAAAGAGATGAGAGTTTATAAATAAATATAAGTATATTATCATCATCTAAACCTTCTCTCTTGTTTTAATAAGGTAAAAGGAAGCCACTTGTATCTGATTAATTTTAGTATAATAATGTTAAATCTGATAAAGCTGGTGACATGTCCATTCATTAGTCATCTACCTTGTTCATTTAACAAATAAGAAATTGTAGCATCCTTCCAAATACAAAAGCCCCAAAGCCCTTTTAAGGGGTTAATGGATCCAATGAAAAAGCCATTTTACCTGACCAGGGTCTTCAGGGAATATACAATTATTCTCTCCTTGAACCTAACAACAAATTAAATACTATTAATCACAATTTATAATCATGTCATAATTACTAGTATACACTATACAGTACTCATGCAAGCACTGTGACTAAAACCGAATAAACCAGGCACATGCAAGAAGAAGAATGTGTGTGTGTGTGTAATTGATGAGATAATTAATTAACCACAGAGAAGGGTTTAATGTAATTGAGGTTAATTAAATTTCTTACAGCAGATTGTTGGTGCCTGAGGCTTGATGATGTGGCACTGCCCAAGTATGGTAAGCTAAGGACCTGCAGAATCCGAGGGTCAAGAAGAGGAAGAGGAGGGAACTTTGAGGACTTCAAGAAATAGAATAATGAAAGAACAAAGTGAAATGGAACTTTAAAGCTAGCGTGCGAGCCAACACTGACTGACTCATGGTTGTTTGGTGAGAAAAGAATGAAGAAACATCACCTCGATTTGACTCTGAAGGAATCTGATATACCCAATAGCTTCTAACAGCACAGAGGCCGTGTCAGTCTGCAAAAGTCACAAATACCACACCGCACTAAATGTTAATCATCCACAATATATTCTCTCATCTTTTTGTTTTTTTTGGATGATACAGAAAAGTATAACGGACGCGGAACTTCATGTAGAAACTTTTATCATTCTCTTAATCGAGTGGATTCAAATCTCTCACACAGATGAGAAAATGCATTATTACCCATTGTGCGTGTCTCACTATTTTTCTGACACGAAAAGTCGAAGACCTCTGGAAAATGAGAGAATCTGTCTTGACTAGACTCATGCTTATGTGGTCGACATAATTTTTGTGATTAATATTGTTTAAATAAATTTGCATTTTTACTTTAAAAGTGAATCTGAAAGACCAAAATGATAAAGTATAACTATAACTTGTAATAACTAGAAAAAGGTATACGCTTTTTATACTTGTGGGCTTCTTCCTGTCTTCACAGAGATTTATTATTTTTTTAATTGGACTGTTGTATGTATATGTGTACAAAACTAGAATTTTGATACGTGCAGTTTAATTATACAATTAAGGTGTCGTTCCAAATTAACTAAACTAGGCTTACCTTCCGAATGGAGAAACTAGCTGATGAAGGGCTGTGATTCTGTCACCCAGCTTCTCCTTCCTAACCTGAAATTGAGAAGATAATGACAGGTACACATGCTTGACAGTTAGTTTTACACAAGGATTGGTTGATTCAGTTGGCTGAGAATAATTATTCTTCTTCTGGGATAACTTGAGGAAGAAAGAGATAAAGAATCAGCATGATTGGGAATTGGACAAGCAAGAAAGACAAGAATTACCACTCACACATGATGTCTGTTTGGGTGTGCTATCTAAAAGCCCAAAGAGAGTTGAGTGTTTGGAAATTTCTGCGTGGCTATAATATATACGTTGTTCACATTATATATACCTTGAAGGTAGACTGAGCTCCAGAGCCTTGAACCCTAGCCTTCTTCGCTGCCCCACCAGTAGTTGCACTGCTGTTACACTTGACAACGAAATTTTGGTTCATTAGAATAGTATCTAATAACCCCCATAAGACTAAATAATTAAAAGAGATATAAAGTAATAGAATTATTATAAGTTGGTTCAAAGAACACAAGGAGAAAAAAAGAATCCCAAGCAATTCACAAAAAGCAGGATGACCGGAGCTCTTGATATTAACTATTAAAGACAAGCTTTCAGGTGTCGGGAAAATTTAAACTTTCATGTAGAACCCAAGAACTTCAGCTCAAGAACACCTTCTATGACAAAATTGCCCAGGAGATCAGAACCTGATCTTTTTTTCACTCACAACTTGTAGGCCCCTTTTTTGTAATTAAGAAATAATTCCCATCGATCAAGCACCGCCTAATTAAGGCACCGAGATGGTGAAGTACGTTCCGCAAACATAGTTTGTGTGACTCGTTTCCAGGAACAAGAGGAAAACAAGTAAAACAACAGTACTACTTCAACAATATTGGGGGTGTTAATAGAATGCTTATAGGAAACCTAGCATCTGTCTCTTACCTCAGAAGATGGATCTGGCAGAGACGGCTTAGCATCGGCTTGATTGTTAGAGAAATCCAACATATTGCTGCTGAAACTTGTGACACAGGACTTTGGAGAAGAAGCCGGCACAACTATTTGATGAGGCCAACCAGTAGGTTTCACTGCCTGAAATTCTTCGCTGTTTCCATGGCCATAACCATAGCTGTTCACTGAACTTTCTTGCTTAATATCCACGAGAGCTGCATTCGGTGCCTGAAACTGACCCATGCCTCCTCTATCTTCTTCAGCCATCGATCCACCCCTTTAACCAAAAACCATAAATCAATATCACATAGATCATAGCTAAAGAAATACATGTGCAGATACGTACATGAGAAGTTGGGTCCATGAGTCTGGAAAGTGGTGTTGATTATTGAGGTCATGTTGCCAAGAAGGCAGGTGTTGATTGGGTAGAAAATTGGAAGGAGAGGACAAGAAAGGAGAAGGTTGTTGAGGGCGCATGGTATTAATATTGATGTTCCACCAGTTAGGGTTGGCCATCATTTGCTGCACCGGTGAGCTCTGATGAAGAAGATGACCTCTATTCATGCCTTCTTCTGATGCTGTAACTCTCTCTCTCTCTCTCTCTCTCTCTCTGTGATCTCTCTATCAAGTTAATTAAGAAGTGGAAATTCTCTCCTTTCCTCCCGAACAAGGGTCTTTGTAGAATCTGAGAGGTCCTCCTGCTGTTGATTATGTAGGACTAGCTAGGAGAGGAACGATACTGCAATTGGTCCCATATATATACATACATATATATATTATAATGCAATTTGAATAATGTTTAATGATGTAGCTATTAGCTAGAGGTTTGTGAATGCGAACCCTCTCTGTCTTTTGTTTTTCTCTCCCTTTCTTTCTTTATTGCTTTGCTTTGCTTTTCTTTTCTTCCTTCCTTTCGATGTTTTTCCTTTCTCGCCTTTGCTTTTTCTATTTCTCCACCGCTTTCTTTTGCTTTATCTTAAAGTGGGACAAAAAAAGGTGGTACCAGTTCCCATTAAATTAAGAATTCCAATATACATATATATATATATATATATCTGCATCTCATCATCACACCCGAGTGCATGATATTTCTATGCTACGAAGCTACGTGGCGCCTCAAGATGCCACATGTACATATGTTACACAGCCTTTTGTTCTCTCTGTGTGTGTGGCAACTGATTAAGCAGGCGATTGTGTAAACTTTTGGGAAGTTTGACTTGTAGAATCCAAGCACTATAGAGGGTTCCAAACTTTTAATTAAATTCATGCGTCACTCAATATTTATTCATATGCCCATCAATATCTGCAATGAGTGAAGTCGTGTCATGTATGTATGTATTTATGTAAACAGTCTAAAGGATATTGCTAATTAATTATTGATGAAGTGTCAGCCCTTCCTTGGTTTTTGGCTTTAAAAAGTAATTCTAGTTGAGAATGTGATCCTGTACTGGTGTGCATGGTTGATTGAATTTTATCTATATATATATATATATGGATGGATTAATTGAGTGTGCATGATAACAAGGATGAGTTATATATATAGAGATCTTACCAAAACCATATTATACTTCGCTTGCCAATATAGTGTACACGTAGATCTTGATTTGGTAATAGATTGAAATAGAGAAAAGGCTAATTTGCCCAAGTAGGAGGAGAGAGTGAAGATCATTTTATTATACTAGAAGGTTAAAGTGAATTACGTTTCAATTTCAAGAATTCACCAAAATTAACGCATGATTTTAAATTTAAAAAATATTTATAAAAATACTTACAAGTCATCATTTTCCATTAATAAAGTTTCACACATATTAATAGTGAGAATTTGAATTGATAACTTTGTGAGTTATGAGTTAAATAATTGCCAACTAAACTTAACATTTACTGTTGAAGATCAATTTTACTTTCTTGAGAAATCAAGTAGTGCTATCATTTCCATAATACTTCCATTTGCGATCCACTCCAATATTTATTAATGAGACTAGCGCGCGCGCGCATTTACTTCGTGAAGATAAAAACCAAATCAATATAATTAATGAATAGAACGCTAGCACATCTCATCAATAGAATGGAGAAGTGAACACATGGGTTTTCTCGCACCTTATTTTCTATTTGATATGTTCTTGGCTAGTTAATTTAGCGTATCAAAATATACATGATGTGTACAATTATAACCAAGAAATTAAATGACGTGAAAAAATAATATATCAGAGGAAATCACGGAAAATATCTTGGGACGGAAAGGCAAAAAGGAAAAAAACAAAGAAAGAAAAAAAATAAAGAAAGAACGAGAGAGAGAGAGAGAGAGAGAGAGAGAGAGAGAGAGAGAGAGAGAGATCTATTATTCTTCGGGTCAACGTCGCATTGTCACGTTAAAGATAAAAGGTCCTCAAAAGTAGAGGGGAAAAACATCCGTGACAGCCTTCTCCATGTGCAATATTCTTCAATTTATCTATTGACCGCAGAACCCCTTTAATTCAAGTAGATATATATAATGCAATATTATTGGATACACATATGTAATTATGATACAAAATATCTTCAATAAAAAAATTTATTCTTTTGTCAAATGACACGCAATATCCAATGTGTCGAAATAGCCAAAAAAAAATGCACGTGAATTAATTAACTAGGCTTAATCAGTGGCACTACACATAAATATAGCCATAATTAAATTTTCATGTCTGTGTATGGGGGTATGGGATTTGGATCAGGAGTGTGGCATAAATCTTCTCATTCATTGAGTCCTTCAAAAATTTACAATTTAGTATTTTCTAAATATCATATGATAAATTATTAATTATCATTCAATTATATTAATAATTATTATTATATTATATGAGATATTCACTGAGTAAGTGAATTTGTGACATTCATCTAATTCAAGTCCGCGGTCTGTTTTGTCCAATCCCACCTTTTTTTTTTCCCCCAAGGTTCTCTTTTCCCACTCGTTTCTCTTCCACTATCTTATACGTTTCTATTAGCAAAGGAGAAAAAAGAAATTATGAATATATGTATGAATTGGACAGACTGCATATGATTAGCAAAAAGCTAGGAGAATCCTGGACGCAAGGAGCAAGTTGGGATCATTAATTATGTTGCATGACATCTAAAAAACAACTAAATATATATGGATCACATTCACATAAATGGCATATTAAACTGATAATACAAAAACTACAGATCGAAGCACTTCTAATTCCTGTGTGCATATATCATTGACCGAGTTTTGATGAAAAGTCTTTGTCGTTTAGAACACTAGAGCTTTCGATCTGTACGAATTTAATTATATTCTTGTTATATTTCTCTATTTCTACATATTTTAATAAGATTTCTATAATATATAAAAATGTATATATAATTCTTGAACAAGTTTCAAGTTATTATGGAAAAACATGCATGGTTAAATGGATACTCGTAAAAAAAAGTTAAAGGAAAATTTAGATCCTAAACTCTTTTTTTTTTGGGAAATATTCTCCTTCAGCATTTTAAAACATTAACAAATATTAACTTTAACCATTAATTTATTAAAATTATAAAAAAATGATCTAAAATTACATAAAATGACTAAGATTTACAAAAAATCCTATAAAAAAACTAATGTCGATTAAATTTTTTTTAAATTTTTTTGTATTTGTTGATCATCTAATTTCAAGTTAATATTTATTATAGTAGGATCAATATTATACCATTTTGAAATGTTGAGGTGGAATGTTGCATATAAATAAGTTTAAGGGTCTTAGATGTTCTTGGATCTATAGTGTAGGGGCAAATTTAATGTATAGTTTATCAAAATTCATATATATGCTATTTTTTATTATTAAATTATTATTTTTAACTTTAACAAATAGAATTTTTATTTCTTATTAATTTTATTTAAAGTTAAATATTGATATTTGAAAATATAAAATTGCGTAGATCAAATGCTAAGTAGTAGTATACTAGTCTGATCATATTTATAATAAAAAGAAAGCGCTGTATTGATTGTAAAGTGTTAAACAAAAAGAAAAAAAAGAATAATATTTCAGTTTTATCATTTTACTTGAGAAACATTTGCACACATAACAAAGTTACTCATGATATTCTTTTAATTATAGGAGTATACTTGAAAAATTAAGATTTTTTAATGATAAAGTAACATAAGATTTCGCCCCAAAAAAAAAGAAACATGAGAACTTTTTCTTAAAACATGGAAAATATTTCAAACAAGTAGAATATGATCAGGTACGCCAACGATTTAAAAGGAGATGGAGAAGGACCAAATTAATTCTGACGCAAGATACTTCAAGATTAATCTTATTAGGGCAAAGGATCTCCAATTCCAAGAACTAAAACCATGACATACACAGATTTTAGATATTCGCTTTGAAGTACCTGTGCTAAATTCTTACGATGCTCTAAGGGAAGCCACCAAACATAATTTGTTCTAATAATTATCAAAAATTGACGATGATCGAGAAATTAAAGCAAAATCAATTCATTGTAATCCCCATGATTGTAATCTTCTAGATTTGGATCCTCGCATTATTTTCCTCATTTTCTTCTCCTCATCTCATTCTCATCTTTGGATAAAAAATTGAATGGCTAAGATTTATTTATCAAAAATTGAAAGGTGAGAGGGAAATGAGAAGAAGAAAAGGCAAAAAGGAAAAAAAACCACAGAGAGAGAGAGGGAGGATCTAAATCTGTCACACATTTTTGGCCAATCTCTGCATAGTAATTAAGATCTTGATTGTCATTATTTTTTTTATTGGTTGATTAATATCCCTCCAATCTATCCGATGGATCCATTGTTATAGATCACAAATTCTGAAAACCAGCCTTGCTGCCATTTAAATCATCAGAAATTTAATCTAGCGTTGCATATGCTTCGTTCTTTCTTTTTTTATTTGTTTCTTACAAAATGCATATGATTTTAATTATGATTATTAACCAAATTTTGTTTTCTATATAATTCTCCCTTCGTTTTTATTTATAGGGAAATTATATAATTTTCAGATACAGATCAAACTAATTTTATTTCAAACATGTGCTTCCATTTTCCTGTTCTACCCTTGTTCAATGCCTACTTTATTTCCTACTAATAGTAAAGGAGGAGAGAAAGAATCATTTTTCGTAAGTTACTGTCCTGATAAATTTCAATCGAAGGAGTATGGAACTGAGCATATTTTTAAAAACAGGGAAAAAATAAAAATAAAAACTGATCCCTATTAGTCAGGCAAACGCATGCTTTCTGCATGCATCAACTTCTATGAACATTCTAAGTGAAATTAAATTAAAGTGATTAATTATGAACACAAAACGATGATGGATAATTCGATGAGTGCTGATATACCTTGAGCTGGCAAACGCGGAGCAGTATAATTACTGGGGAAGACAAACATTCCCTGAAACCGCATTTTGAGGTTACTAGCAAACAAACAAAAAAAAGCCCTTAAATCTGGATGGGGCTGTAACACTTCCCAACAAAACCAGAGAGAAGGAAATGACAGGAAAAAGATCCGTGGATGACGAGTTAGGTGATGTAGTGGTGGCACTGCCAAATGTTTCGAACCCATAACTTCATTTGCAATTCAATTCAATCTCTTTTTTATTTTCTTTTTATTTGGCTTTTTGTGTCCTTTCCCCACAAAACAAACACCACCTAACTGCACTTACCTTCTTGTCATTATCCTCTTTCTCTAATATTCCTTTTCTCCCTCTTCTCTTTTTTTGTCTCCTAAGTGAGTGAACTTAACATAATGTAAA